AGTAAAGTACCAGGTACAGTATATATATAGTGTCACAGCAGTACTGTTTTACATCTGGTAATTCAAACCTTTGCCACAATGGAAAGAGGAATTTTGGTACTTGCCCTAGCCCTAGCTCTGGCCATGTGATTGTGCTTCAATCACGTGGCTCATTTGCCAGCGTTGCAAAATTAGAAACATTGTGGGCAAATTTCAGGTCACAAACCGGTAGCCAAATTAACCCTTCCTGGGAAAAAAGCAAAACAAGAAACAGGAAAACAAAATCAAGAACAAGTGAAAGCAAAGAAAAAATATGTACTTTGCTCAAATTGCAGGCACTGCGAGCTGTCGTGTCTGGTTACATGCACATGTACATGTAATGCATGGTACTGTGCCTGTACTGCGTGTACAGTACCGGGTATGTACTGTACAAAAGAAACTCAGGATTACCACTTGGGTAAGGTTATTTCCTTGTTGACATTGAAAAATTCTCTTTCTTGACAAAACAAACAAAAGCCTGTGTCAATAGTAACATAAATGTGTACTTCGATACCGGTGTTATTTGAGAATTGGAGTGTTTTTATGTACAGTATACCGACAGTTCCCCTTTTCCTTAATTCAAGTTACTGTTGGAGTTGCAGTGTTTCTTGTGTAAATGTGTAATCCGTAACAAGAATACAATGTATTGTATACACAGAATGCATTTCTGCAAAACATGCTCCATGTCCATATAATAATCTGAAATGGGTGATTTGCCTACATTTATAATTGATCTGGCATGCCCCATGATCTGCCATTAGATTTAAAAAATTCAGTGGGGTAACTCTTGAGATGACCAGTTGAACCCCTTTGAACATGGTCAGGAGATTCGTCAATAGCACTCAGCGTACATTCACATGTATGTATATAGCACTGATACTTGCTACCGGATTATGGGGACAAAACTGATATAAACTTGTCAATGGTCTCCACAACTCAGTCCTGTCGACTTTCCTAAAAGAAAAAAAAAATTGTTCCCTATAACATGGTGAGGTCCACCCATCTTATCACACAAGCAAATTTACTGTGCAATAGTGCATTTGAGCTAGGGGACAGGAGAAGTATCTGCAATTAATCTGCATATGTACATAACAATGTGAGATTATGAGCTCATAATTTGCAGAAAAATGCTGAAATAGGAGATGCGAGAAGGAGCAGGATGCCATGGTCAAAATGATGAGACAGCCTGGTATTGGCGCGCAGGCTTGTCTGTCCTCCCCGAGAGATTCCCCAGATTGACAGAATTCAGAAACCTCATCAGCTGCCGCCATGGCAACCGCCCTAGATACACTAACCTCATCTCAGGCTCGCTCAGTCCTCGCGCGGATCCCGTACGTGAGCACTGTGCAGAGTGCTGCTGTAGCTCGGTGGAGATGTACATGTATTCATAGGGAACATCATATTACTTGCTTGTGTGCTAGTCAGCATACACCTTGGCTTTATTTCCAGAATCTTGGCTTCATCTCCAGGTCAGGTTTAGTACTGGCTTGAAAATATTTATAAGCCTTTAATATTCCAAGCAAAAATACTCTTACATGTAGCTTGAGCCTATCCTGAATTTAGAATGCCCATTTCGTTTCCCACTCAGGAAGTTCAAAATTCCCTGAAGACGTAGACAGAGATCTTAAAAGTGGAAATTTGGGGGGGGAAAAAAATGGTCGGAGGGGAAAATGTTATTTGCAATATTAGTCACAGTCACTTGCATGTGGCTTGCACTTGTAAAGACATAAGTGCAAGACTTGAATGCACATGAGTCCAGTATTTCAGGGTGTAGATTCAAGTCTGCTTGGGGGTTGGAACATTAATGAATTCCTGAATCCCACCAACTGTGGAAACTCAAGGGGGGGGGGATTCTCTAACATCAGGGTGTGCACACTGTTTGTTGTACATGTACTTGTTACTTTGCTTGTACATGAAATGCAGTCGTACTGCATTTTAACCTTCTCTCTCCTCTGGAAACTCTACCATTTTGAAAATGTACATTCCCATAGTGATTCCTGGCCTCTTCTGTAATTTTTCCTCTTTTAGAATGCTTTATTCATGAAAAAAAAAGTCTCCGAGTAGGGAGGAAGAGATCCTCTGTCCCAACCCTGCATATGTGTTGATGCTGTTTCGCAAGGTGTTTTGAAATTCTCATTTCGCTGATACATTTGTGCATAATTTATAAACATTGCCAAATATTCCAGAGGTGTTTGCTTCATTTATCAGTGTACATGATGTTGTTCTTGATTATCAAGGCACCTGCGGTATATTTTTATACCATGTCTGGTGGCGACCTTCAAATTAATTCATTCAGAGATACTACAGAACAGGAAACACATATATACCCTTAGTTTGCAGTGAAGCGTGCATAATTCCACCTGCATCTTCTTGCCTACAATCAGCTTGTCATTTGTTCATACTGTACATGTACAGGTGCCGTACATGTAGGCAGTCACATTGTGATACGGTACATGGTTTGGCAGGATGATACAATAATGTGTACATCTGCCTGAAAATGATACTCGTTTAAATGGCATCGTTTTCGAAAAAGATATGTGTTTTTCTTCATTTCAGGCATTCCTGGTTTTGTATACCGAAACCCTTTATGCATTTCAACTACTTTGGTTGATGCTGTTTCACATGGAAATCTTTTGGGTTGCAATTGTCACTGGGTAAACCAATTTGTACGATACCAGTGGTACACGCATACATGTACATAGGCTACAAACATGAAAGCATACACGTAGGTTGTCCGCACATGTGCTTATTGCTCTGACTGGTTTGATTTAGTGAGCAAATCAAGAAAGATCAACTTGGATTTGACTGACTCCAGTCAAGAAGGTCTCAACTGTGATTTTGAGCTGAATTAAAAAAAAAGAAGTAGTGAATGTCAAAATTGTCACACATTTTACTCAAAAGGTATTAAACAAAAATCTTGCCAGTGAGTACATGTATGCTGTCTCACCGTTTTTATACTATTCATCACATCAAGAGAGTCATTTGAGTCATGCTATAGAAAGAGGGTCCAAAAGTATGACATTTTTGTGTCCCTGTTACACCTGATGTGTGTGATTTGACATGGAAATGTTACTGAAATTGATTTCAAACTATTTCTAATTGTTAATTGGCAGGTAATTTGCTTAATCCGTCACTCTTGGAAATTAGAGAATAAGTTCTGAACTTACAAAATCATATGTCAGATGTGATGGTACCCAAAATAAATTGGACCCCTAATTTAAGGAATGGCCCAGTGCACTGGTAAAATACTTTCACTTCTGCGGTAATATATTTATGAATCATTCACTTGTCAACATAAAATCCCACTCCCCATTTACATGGACTGTCTGAAGGCAACCTGCTTACACAAACACGGCGGCACACACTGTTGAGTTCCCTCAGGCCCTTTTGTCCATTTAATTTAGTGGAACTTTACTAAAATCATGATGAGTCTTTCTGCCATTGCCACGGGTAGTTTTAAAGGAACTGAGAGTCTTTCTTAGCCTGGAGGGAGAAGCTTGGCGCATTGCAGAATTGGAATTGTCAGCATGCTTGTAGTGAGAAATTGTAAGTTTCACTCATTGCATTTTATGCCCGACACCACTCTGGTAGATGTGTGCATTGTATTATGCAGTTCAATAGTAACATAATTTACCAGTGCAGAATCAAGTCAAATTTATTAGTGAATTGTTACGACAATTTGCAGAATTTTTAATCATCATACAGTAAACGAGCTTTCTCACACTACACAGATTCAGTGCATGTAGTTTTGTGCATATGCATAACTTTATACAAGTACTGTACTTTCTGTAACTCCAAAATCTTCTACCAGATCCTCCCAAATCTGACCGAAGGATTTCAACCTCTGCATGCATTAATTGTTGAACAAATTAAGGCAAGATGCGTAGATGGCAAAGTTTTTAAATTGCACCAAATGGCACAAATACTAACTCCTGATAAGTTGGGAGCCATTTTTACAGTCACGATATTCTCACTCCAATTTCATTTGTTTACATGTGCGTAATTTGTCTCCTGCCTGGCAGAGACTTGTCATTCTGCGCCAGCTGATGACTGCCCCTCTGCTTGGCTCACTTTTTGCAATACTTTGAAGCCCCCACCATGGGACGATATTTCCTTCAGTGCACCCCGTGCATGTAGACTGTATACTGGCCAAGTTCAAACACGGTCAGTCTCGATGATAGGCCGACTTTTTGGATGTACATTAGACAACATTTTGGAAATGAGATATGTAGGTGTACGTACATGTATATATATGCATACATACATGTACATAACCCTGTCACCAGAGACTTGGGAATTCTTGATAGCTTTAAACAGTCAGCTATCTGCATTGGAATAAATACATTGAAATTACCAGATTGTGTTTCTACATCCTCTAGCAAGAAGGATTTTGGAGGATGAAGGACGTACTGAAGAAGACTCAGCATTCATTTACAGTGTATACATGTAGTTGATACGTTGTACAAAAAATGTGTCCTTTGGCAAGATTTGGGAAGTTACGTGTACATGTAGCAAGAATAAATTAATCAACTGAGGTGTTGTCTGCTTTTGTGCCTGGTCATTATTTGGATGAATACGGTCAGTGTCCAAATGTGCCCTTTTCAGATTTTAATTTGCCTGGATATGAGTGCTCTTGACAGGGGTACCTGGAGGTCACTACGACCCTCTTGATGGTCATGTGCTGAATGATGATGATGGATATAAAGTGTGCATTAAATAAGTGCATGTGTTAAGGTGAACGACTTAACGTCCAACAGTTCAAGAAGAACATGTGTTTTACTGTTTGTGGCTCAAATGGCAGAAAATCCTTGGATGTAGCCATGCAGTTTGGGTCATTTACATGTAACTCCATCAGCAAAGAACAGTTGTATTGAGGATAATTTTTCTCTTGCGATTTCCACTTGATCATTTTTATGTCTATCGGTACCTTGACTTTGTTCTTGCTCTCAATCATCTCGGTATTGTTCATTTCTTTAATACAGCACTGGTATATCTCCATTCACTACAAGAATGATGTCCAGCGTCAATATGAACTTCGATGCGAGACGGAAGGAGAGTGCAATGCATGGATTGATGCCATCCAACATTCCAGGTAAAATCTCCTGCACTTAGAGTGCATGCTTTTGGTGGCTTGGCAGAGGATATTTTTTTCATCCCTTCATCAGCATTGTTACATGTTTCCAATGAGCATGGTCTGTGTCAGATTTCTTATGATTGAATGGTAGTTCGCACTTCGACTTGCTGCACATGATTAGAAAGGGCTATTAGGACTGTATGTTTTAGTCCAGCCCATCGTAAATGTGTCCTTTCACAAGTCTAGTCACAAGATCAACATCTGGTCATAAGACTTCCGTCACGTGAGCAGTTCTAAATCAGAGAATGACCAGTGAGAAAGACACACTTTTGTCACAGTTCATTTGAATAGCTTGTTATTTGGCTGAAGACCGGATGTCTTGTGATATACTTCGGTAAGACATATATGTAATGAACTCATTTACACCATTGGCTTACGGTACATAGACCAAATTTAGGCTGCATCCAAATCTGTTGTCTAGTGCTAGGTCTAGGTCTTCACTCCATTGGAAATGTGTGATGACACGCAGACAATAGACCTAGCAGTAGCTCTGGAATCCCGCTTCGGACACGGCCTAAGAAGCCATTATTCCAATGCCATAGTGACATGCAAGTGGTACACCACGTACCACATTTACCTCGCCAACATACCGGTAGGATGTTTCCAGTTTTGCATAATTCTTACATGTACATGTACGACTGAGTTGAACATGTTCAAAGAATGTCTGTCACCATCAGACGTGCTCAGACATCGTTGACTGACATACATGTACATGTAATAATACAAAGTGCAAAGGCATGATTTCCAGAGTTATAGACCCCGCTGTTATGATATTGTGGCATGTTTTATGTTTGAGAGTATACATTACATACATGTACATTCAGAATCCAATTCAGGTAGGTGGAATCTGGATCCCTGGTGTGTGCCAATTATTTGTTCTCATGAAACCGAAACCTTGCCAAATCATAGCAGGTGCAGATACGTCCATATCATGCATTCACCGAGCCTTGTGTAAAGGACCCATGGACTCTCAAGCATTGTTTCATGATTTGTGTTCAAAAAGAGGTATCCTCCCCAAGTGATCCTTATTTTGTGCACACTTCCCAGGTTGCATCATGTATAATTGGGGCGGGATACCTGGCTGTGTGGTGTTTCAGGTTTCATGGCTTCTAACGAGCACCTCGATATATATCCGAGCAAAGATAACTGACAAATGGGAAGAGACGCCAATGCAGGGCGGGATAGTTCAGTTGATAGAGCACTGCTGTGGCATTCCAGAGGTCACAGGTTCAAATCCTGCTCCAGTCAATTTCCTTGTTTATCTTTATAATTACTGTACTTGTACACGTTTAATATTTGTTTGCTTTCTGTTTTTTCTTGGTTGTTGTTTTTCTTACTTTGAAGCTTTTATAGCTCCTGCTGAGACCTCATCTTGAAGGAACAACCTTTCAAGGAAATTAAAGTTTGCTCAACCTAAAGAGCTGACAAACTGCTCCCAACATTCCTTGAGGCAAAGATGCAGGCCCTGCCACATTTCATCCGTTAAATTTGATGCGATGTACTGTATCGCATACATGTACCGGTACATGCCCCGGTACCTTGCCCCCTGCTCAATTATTTTGCTCCGATACACAAGTGTTGCAAGTATTTGTGTTACCATAATTTCTGCTGTTGAGATGCAAGGTTTCCAATACCATTGTTGCGATGTACCATAGACGATGACCTCAGCAGTGTCATGCCAGTCGTGAAAATGTCCCATGCCGGTACATGTTTGAGTGCAGGTTTTTAGTTTGAACTGATTGTCTATTAAGTACATTTCAGTTCCTTGGCCTTCCATCTTTAGTCAGAAATTCAAGACTCAAAATACTCTGCATATGGCAAGGCTTGGAACTCTGCCACTTTGAAGTCAAATTGTACTGCGCTCATCGAGTGCATGTCAACTGGTGGTGAATTACACCCTGGTGAAGGCCCTGCCATAAAGTCAAGTGATTATGGCGGTGCTCGGGCTGCTGCACCGGCAGATGGGATTTCAGGTGCCGGGTCCTGGCCTCTAACAGTCCAGAGAGATCAATAAATATGTACACGCCCACATAAAGATCCCATCCGATGTCAAACATGTGAAGGAGTTGGCATATATCCAAGCTGGATCTATATGGAGCCTTAAAGTTGTCTAGACTGGCCTGGTTATCAAAGCTATTGTTCAGTGTTTACATACCATGTCTGCCATGGAGATGTTAAATTTTTGTTTTCTGTGGTGTACATATATGCTGGTCTGCTACATGATGAGATGTAGGTACTTATTGTACTGTTATACTGGTACGCGATATACCCGGTACTTGCCAAAGTGTGTTGTTCGTAAAAACAGCAATTTACTGCTTTATTTGGATACTTTAATTGGATTAGGGACCTTGTACAATATACAGACATACTGGATTAAGTCTTCTTTTGCTATAATTCACAGATGAAGAATTTTGTTAGGGTCATTACTGCCTACATTTGTACAGGGTAACTTTGTTTTCTTTCACCCAGCTCTTTTTCTGTTTTCGGAAAAATTTTCAAAATAGTTCGACTTCTAATTTGTTTTTTAATGACATAAATGCACCATGCATTATGAAGCTGAAAACCTGTTACATGTAAATTGGGAAACTCCTGTCACTTGAGTCCAGAGTTACGTGTACATGTATCTTACCAATTATATGCGGTAAAAGAAAGGAATTTTTAAAAAATACTTACTGCCTTCTCCATTTTTTCACAAAACCCTAATGAGGCTTCTTTTTGACTAATCTCTTTTGGTTTTATTTCCACTGTCAATTGACACATTTCATCAAACTTGACTTGTTGACCAAGCCGAAATGGATTGGTTCATTCTTTGCTACATGTACCAGAACTGTGTATATACTTTGCTTTGTGAAAAACGAGCTTTGTTGGAGGAAACATTTGAAACTACGTTGTGCCTGTTTGCATGCTGCGTAGAGTTTGTATTATTCGCATGGGCCGCTTTGTCTTACTAAGCAATTGGCAATTATTACATGTAGTTCAATCAGCTGATGATATATTTGTTAAGTACCGGTACAGTGCATAAAGTTCTTGGGAAAGGAAGGGGAATTCCCATAGCCGGTCCCTCCAAGCTCTCAGCATGGTGTGATGTTATGATCCACTTCTTCAAATGAGAGCTTTCATTGTCTCAACACACCCAAAGTGCAATCTGCAATGCGTACCGTCCACTTCAATGGTCACATGTATGTGACTTTTTTGAAAATGCAGATGGGGCAGGTTGAGTATGCTGGGTGTGTACATCAGGAGCGGATCTACATGTAACTTCCAGGATGTTGGAGGGGAGGGCAGTGGGGATAGTGTGAGGTGCATCTTTGGCACACTCTTGCGGTGGGGACATTCCCCCTTCCTGGAAATGCTCCTCAGCATTTTACATGTACACATGTACATGTTTTATTTGTAGTCCCAACTGGCTGCAGGCATGCAGTGGAGGACCAGCTACATGTACATGATATACCCCTCCTTCCTCCTTCCAACCCCTGATCAGACTTGCCCATTCTGCCTCCTGGTACATGTACATATAGGGATCCAAAGTTAGGAGAGGGGACAACAAGCCACTCAAAAAGTAGAGACAGGAGAAAGATGCAAAAAGGTTTGCACAATTATGGCCTGACAGAAACCAGCCCGAAGTTACTGGAACCAGTTTGGAGTTCAGTCAGCAGCTCAGTTACTAATGTAAATGTACGAGAACCAACAGGATTGCTACAGTTTAGAAAGAATAACACTGACTTTTGCTGTCTCCTTTACATACACACACATATTTGAGTAATGTATGTAAGTTTTATTGAGTTGCAATGGATGTACACGTACCATAATCCCACCATTGCTGTGAGTTAGAGGACTTTCTCTCTGACAAATATGTGCAACATATACACATGTACAGTGGCCCCTAATAAAGTGTGCTTGCTGGTCGCCAGTGCAGGTACCTGTACGTGCAAATCCCTTAGTACATGTATCATACAAATGTCTGCCATTATACCACTCAGATATGGTGATGTACTGTATGAGTCAGAAGTATATAAACATGAGGAAGAACTCTTTCACTGACTTTTAAACTCACTTGTCCCTGTACACCCAGCTTCAACACACTCCTACTGGAGAAAGAGGAATTGGAGCAGAAGTATCTGCATCTTTTGCAGATCTTGGACAGTGAGAAGACAGCTAAACTTGGACTGCGTCAACAGTGTGAGGACCTGACTAAGGAGGTTGTACGACTTAAAGCCGAGGTTGGTGATAATTGAACTAAATCAACTCCCCCCCCCATCCTAAACAAAACAAATTACTCAAAATAAAAATCAACACCCCCAAAACTAGAATCCCAAATACCGAAAGCTCAAAGCCCCAAATGCCAAAGGTTGCTGTTGCTATGCCTGAAATAAGAAATTGCTTGAGAGCTTTTCGTCATTGCCTGACCCTTTCCCCATAATTTCCCAATAATTTCTTTTCTCCTGAAATTGATTATTTGGTCATTTTTTGGCTGATTAGCATCCAATGATAAATACATGTATCTGGACTACATGTATATACATGTAGCTGTATGTACCAGCAGACAACGATTCCCATTTTTTCCATAACCTGACACGATGGTGGATCACCTAGAGATGGAGTCCAGCAATCAAACTGCCGAACTTTAAACTCAGTGGACTAACACTGTACATAAACTGGAGATGATACATTGTCAATTGATCACTGTCAGTTTAAGGTTTCTGTGCTCTTGTATCTTTTTTGCTTCAGCTGCACATGCTTCAGAAGAAAGAGCGGAAGCTGTCCAATTCCATCCATGAACATTTCTCGGAGGAGCCAGAGAACATCAAAAAGATCAAGCGGGTAAGAGTCAGTTGAACCTGCTCCGTTGGCAACCTCTTGATAAGGCAGTCTCTCCTTGCATTCTGGGATAGAGGGTGAATGTTGTTGCATGATAAGCATCATGCACTTTGCCCAGAGGTGTTCTACAGCACATGTGCTTTCTCTCTGTGTTCAGATACAATCAATCATCAAATGTACCAGCAGTTTTAATCTCAAATTATTTTATAGAGTAAAAAAAATCTTACCAAGATGCCCACACTGTACTGCTCAGAGTTTTGGCAAGCGTGTGCATATACGTGAACATGTATCACTGCCAGCAGGCAAAACATCATGGCACATTGCCCGTAAAGTTTATGAAAATGGAAACTGTCATGGTTTTTGTTTGATCGCAGCTGTTTCTTGTATGGAGTGACTTCACTGTTGACAAATTTATGTTAGTTCCAGCATGCACTGGTGTGTTTGTGTATGTCCATCCATCCATCAATATCATCACCACTGTGTACATAACAGACGTCATAATATATATAATGTATGCATGTTTCATGTCAACCAGATGAGCTAGCTCACCTGGCCTTTCTTTGGGAGTGGCTGGAACATTCATTTGCACTTTCAAGTTGGGAAGAAAGATATTCAGATCGTTTTACCAGGAAAAATTTTAACAGGGAAAACTTGATAGGAAAAAATTTTTTCCCAGTGCCACTTGATATAAAGGTATTTAGGCGTGGTTCGGGATAATAGAAACAGTTGATGTACATGTACACGTCATTCTATAAGCAAGATTCCTCGTCCCTCTGTGGTTGTGAAACTGCATCATTCATGTCTTCATATAAGTGCACAGGTATATGTTTATACACGACGACAATAAAGTTGAGGTACCTACAGTATAAATGTACAAAATGTTTTTGTGACAATTTACGAGGTAAGTTCGCAGTGTGTTTCAGAATTGGTGTTATTTTTTTACCTTATAAATGAAATTTACACAGAACCCAATTGCAGTGTGCAAACACTGCACTTAGTACATTTATCTGGGGCGGATGCAGACATTTTTCCAGGGGGGTCAGGCCTATCAGATTTTTTTTTACATGCCACAAAGTACACGTACATACACGCTATAATACATCAAATTGTTACTTATGTGCTCAGAAATGATAACTCTTGATGCATGTCATCTTTTATATTAATATTTTAATTTTTTTTTTAGATTTGGTGTCCGAGCGGGGGGATAGACCCCCCCCGGATCCGGACCTGTGTATGCAAGTACAACCTGGAATGATGTATATGTATTACAGTCAATGGACACGTATAGAGGCATGTTAATTTTATGTTAAGGTTTAGAAATTTGAAACCGTTGATTTCAAATCATTGCAGTCCAAAGGGTTCTTTGTCCTCAAAGGAGATTTTTTGGAGTGGGAAAGTTACCGGTACATTCTTTGGGGACACAAAATAGGTTCCAGAATGTTTGGGTTTAGGTTTTCCTGGTTTGGGTTACATGCTTGGAAAGGTTTGTACACGTACATATACACACATCCTTGGGCATGTCTCCCTAATGTCCCATCCAGGCACTTCCAGGTATTAACAGTGCTTCGGCTTGCCAAATTTGAAAGAGTACCCAGAGTTTTAGCTCAGTGTGCACTTTTACAGCTAATGCCTGCAATGAATTTTTTTCTGGCCAATAGCTCAGGGTTATAGCCTTAGTTTGTGAATATTTGCTGTTTGGCAAGATTGGTGACTGGCAGTTTTACCTGCATTTTGCAAAAGAATGGGACCATAGTCATCCCTCACTTCTTTTTTTTTGCCATTTTGCCATGTCTAAAATAAAAGAGTAAACACCTCATCCAATAAAAACTGGAAGTAAATTTTATATATTTTTTTTTAATATTTAGGGAAACAAATGGAGTTAGTTTTTTTTTGCAAATTACTTTTTTTGGCCCTTTTTGTCCCCTACCCACAATTTGGATACTACTTTGTGTATAGTGTGCTCAAGTTTCTCTGTATCATAAACTTGCTTTATTGGGCAAAGTGAAACCTATTTGCGACATGTTCATACATGTACGTGTACTTCATATTTACATTTTAATTTAATTTTTTTCCCTTGATGATAGGCTTGCGTGTCATGATGAATACATACACAGAACAGATCTTCAGCAGAAAAAAAAAACCGCTTTGATAGACAAATCTTGTTATCCAAATTATACATTCACTTGCCCCGATGGAAAATTTAAATGTAGATTTTTTGCTAGTCACGGGTCCCATTAGAAAAAAGTGGGGCTGGAAAACATCACAGGCTATCGCTGCGATCAAAACAAGCAATTCGCCCATCGCAATCATAGGTACATGTATTCGCACTAGTTGTCTGCCTACCCCTGGGGCCAGAATAGCATTGATTCTCGGCAGAGCAATCGGTGCTCAGCCATGCGTATATAGCCTGGGCCGGAGATCTGCCTCGGTGGGCCATATCTCTTCGACCTCACATCAGATGGCCCAAGACAAGTAGACAGACCGACAGGCCACGCTTAGCTGTATAACTACGTCCCAGTGACGTTGATGGCATACGTGTTCACAGACACACTGTTTTAACCGCTGATTGCTGGGCTGCTCTCTGAGTGGGTAATTACCTCCATGATGAGGCCGTGTTGCCCTTAATGTGACCTCGATACACGGTCGTGATCTATTGGATAGGCACTCTGTCAAGTGGAAGGTTGCGTTCATCACCCTCTTATTTCATATGGATACATTGCATTTGATTTAATAGGCTTGAAGCAATAAAATATATACCTCTGCATGTATAAGCCTGCTGAATCAAAAGGAATAACTTCATCAGATTGTGTTAAAAATGCAATCCATAAAGACACAAATGACACTGGTTACAGAGTTAACCATCAAAATGTACTCTTTTCTCTAACCACGCTCCCCTCCCAGAAGCATACACAAGAAGAAGATATTGGCCCTCTTTTATGAAAGCTTGTGCAAACTGGAAACCCCAAGTGTGTTTTACATGCTCATGAAATGGATGGAAAACTGGATGTCGAAACACTGGTACTTGCTGACGCCCATTCATGTATGGTACAAAATAAGTACATGAACATGTAATGATGAGGCATGTGGAATGCTTTTATCTGACGTGTGCGCACTGCACCTAAAAATAGAATTGGGGGCTTCCTACCAGGTACCATGTAACCAGCCCAGCTAATGCCTAGAGAGCTGAGCTTGAAATAGTCCTATTATTGAAAGAGTACAAAAGATACTGTACAGTAGTGTACATGTATATTCTGCCACTTAGACCAAAATCATGCCCATTGCTAAAAGAAGCTTGGCTTTGGTTTGGTTGATAAACAGTGACCACATATCCCCTTCTCAAGACTGACAAGAATGACATGGTAAAGATATCGCATTTTGAGAGAAAAATCACAATTAATTTTTTTTCACAAATTACAAACGAAAACCCTGCAACAAATGATTAAATATTTGATGCTGTGATATGCTGTCAAACCGGTACTTCTAGTTTGCAATTTCAAAATTAATCTCGGCATAACCGGCATGAAAACCTAGACACGGTACGTGCACACATTGAAAAGAAATGTCATTTACAAGACCACTGGTTTTCGCATCAAATATTCAACTTTGTTGCCTTTTGCTGTCAGCCAGTATCCAACACGTCGTCATCACTCTGCAGAAGAAAGCACTGTCAAAACATCCTCACCCGATGACATGCGTGCTTGGCTTGTTTTGCAGCATCTCATGAAAGCCAGACCCAAAGCGGCGTCCCCATCTCACTGCTGATAGATCCTCATTCCAATTCATAGGCTTTTTTTTTTCTTTTCTTGGTTTTCAGTTTTTCAAAAAGCCTCCCCGGAATTCCCCAGCCCATTAACATTGATATCGCTTTGCCAAACAACCGATGAAAAGGTCCTATTCCGCGTCCCCTCGGTTATCATCATTCTTCATCTCCTCATCTGGGGGATGTTTCCTCTGTCAGCAGTCGGACGTTGTCTCCAACTCCCCGGTGATCAATGCAGTGCCGGAATCAGAGGGGGGGAGAGGAAGGAAGAACGTTTGCCTGGTGTACACGTGTACGTACACGAGAGAGCATACGCAAGCTTTTGTGGTCAGGGAGAGAGTCGTTGAGTGAATGAGAGAGCAAGGAGGACCTTTGTCATCTTGGAGAAGGAGCGGAGATGCCTGGCAGACGGATTTGTCTTGTCAGTGATTTGTATCTAGGGACCTCTGTCTTGTTAAACGTCTCCACAGTCTTCATCATCTTGAAGCATACAGGGAAGTGCCACAAATACATGTGTAGGTTGTGCAGAGTGAGGGCCAGACAGTTCAAATGCTGAGTTGATCTGGTTTCAATGCAAGACCACAACAGATGAATTATTATATTCTTTGTAAACAACAATGGCTGTGGATTGAATTGAATAATCGTGTTGTGCATAAGATAAACTTCACATGGAATGCTGACGTGAAAAAAATTGGTTTTTACGTCTAATTTTACCTTGCCTTTAAATTACCATAACCAGTTGCCGCCCGGGGTTTTCCGTTTCAGACACGTATTCTTTATACGCGTGGCCGGGGTCTCTTCAATCGGACAAAGGGAACTGGGCCTTGTAACAAAAGACTGTATTCTTAACAAAAGACCATTGACCCCCCCACCTTTGAAAAGGTATTTATTCCCCCCCCCCACTTTATAGGCCTACCAGCCGTTGGAGGTACATTCAGGGGTGTGAGAATTCAGCTTTTTAGCTGATTTCAGCTTTTTTTGTTTAGATGTTGACCCTGAATTTCAGCTTCTTATTACACCTAGTCTGTACAAAAGTTTGTAAACATTTTACATCTCAGCTTTTTCCTAGCTGTTTTCTGCTTTAATTTTAAGTGGCCACTCACATCCCTGTACATTGCAACTTCATAATTGTATTCTTTTTTTCAGTCTGATGGCCTGGCTCCCCCCCCCATTTTTAAAACCATTCTGTCACTGTTGTTGTTATGATAATAATTATGCATTGCAAAACTTTTTGAGAAGTGATCCACTGCAAACAGTGAGGGCTGAAGACTGAATTGATATTAGTAAGAGAAATGATCCAGACATGTCATTCCCTGCAATGTTGCCATGCAACCAAAGTTGAGAACTCAAGTCAGATAAATTCAAAGAGAAATAAAATACAAACATACCAGTGCATGTAGTTTTGCTGGCGTGTACCATTACCCACATCCATGTATTTTGTACATGTACATGTATAACATTAGCACTGTATGTAGTACGAATATTCATTTGTTTTTGTGTAGTTTTAAAAATTAAAGGAAATGATTTTTTTTTCTCAAACTGGGAACACTCTTTTGAGCTGCATTCTTTTGGTGGATCCCTTACTTTTCCTCTTCATTTTGATACAGAAACGTCCAGCACCCCAAATTGCCTCTATTTTAGAGAGAGAGAACCTAGTACAGAGTCTGTGGACCTGGCTTTATCCCACACAAGGTTCACAACTTCACATGTGTACATCTACATGTACATTACCAGTATGCATATGGGTGGACCTTCTTTGACCTCCATTTATTCCCTGTATCCATCCAACCACAGGTCCAGAGCTTTATCCGGGGCTGGCTTTGCCGACGTCGCTGGAAGGCCATCGTTCAGGACTACATCCGCTCGCCGCATGCTGAGAGCATGCGCAAGCGTAATAGCATCGTCTTTGGCATGGTGGAGTGCGAGCGGGAGTACGTGGAGCAGTTGTCAACGCTAGTCTCCTGCTTCCTACGGCCCCTCAAAATGGCCGCCAGCTCCAAGAAACCTCTCATCTCCCACGAGGATGTTAACTCAGTATTTCTCAACAGGTGGGCCATGTTAAACTTCCATTTTGCCCTGCATGGACCCACATGAAAATGTAAATTATGTATTTGCATGCTCAGGGCACATCCAATTGTTGTCGTCCTTTCTTGTGATGGGATCAAATGTTTGCAACCAGGTGGCTCACCAGTTTAGATCAGTGCATAGATTACCGTTGTCCCATATTGACATGCCTCGTCTGTCTTTATAGAGTGTAACTCATGATCAAGTCTAGAAAACTTAGGGAAAAAAAGATAGCTTTTCCTGTACTGGGCTTGCTTTGTGTCACACATAATTCCTTGGTCTTTTTCTGCTCAACTTTTAGCCTCAAGATGACTAGACATCTTGATGTGGCCTGCAGGCACTTGTGACCTCAAGAATGCTGGTCACCAGGTCACCTTTTGTAAAGCTCGACGTCACATGCCATATGTACCATTTAAACCTAGCTTTGTAGATGTAAGTTGTGGTTTGGGGAGAGTGATTTGGAGTTATATGGTCATAGGACCGCAAGAATGTTGTAGTATTGAATCCCACTGCAGGCACAAATCAAGTTCCACCTCTGACAAGGCATATATTGTTCTCATTGGCCAGGAGTATATTAGTTTGGTGACCTCGTGATGAGCAGCATGTGTTAAGTGTGGTCCAGCTAGGGCAGAACTAGATCTAGATTGGGCCAATAAGGTTACCTGGAAGGTAGCACTGTGCAGACACTGTAAGGAGCTTAACTGGCAAGTTTGGCATGACATAGGTGTACTGGTATTAAGGATCGGCTCGGAGCCATACATGTACAGTGATTGCATAGGTTGGATTTCATTGGATTTGTTGTGCATGGAGACAGTTTTGGTTTTGTTTTCAAGATAATAGTGCTGTACAGATTCTCAAAATTCATGTACATAAAGCTGGAAGGATAGAACTAGGTCCTATAAATGTACATGTAACTTGGGTGCATGACGTACCCGCGCCAAAGCCTAATTTTCCACATGCAAAATATATAGGTAGAGTGTCTACTGTACGTTTATGTATGTACCTGTAGACCTCCGTACTTGCAAATATTTCCAGCTTATTTGTTGCACATCTTTATGAACATTGATATATTGCTAGTGGTGCTTGCATTTGATTTGAATGACCCGCAGTCAAGTGGGTGACCATCTGTTCGTATCTGTGCATGATTGCATTGTAGGTGTTAATCGCTTTTCCAAAGTGGGAGGGGGGGTGCATACATATATACCTTGATTAGAACTAATGCAGGTGAAAAGTGTGAAGCCGTAACAGCCATAATTACATGTAGGGCCCCAGGATTTTGGATTCTAAATGTTTTATGGTGTAATCCTTGGCGATTTCTGTCCTTTTTTAGCAAATGCTTTGCAAGAGGTATTTTGTGTTTCAAGTAATTTTTTATCGGATGTGGACCTACTCCCGCTACATTTTTGTATTTGGGGTCCAGAAAAAAAGTGGAGGGACAATTGATATGGTGTCACCCCCACCTTCAAAAGTTGGGATGGGGGACCATCTCCCCTACTCTCACTGATTGACACCCATGGACATGCATGCACATGTACGGTAGTACATATGAGCCTGCAGTTGTTTTACATGATATTTTGACAGATGATTGATGCCATTTGGCCTAGTGCATTTCAGTCCTGGTGCATTTCAGTCCTTGTGCATTTCAGTCCTGGCACATTTCAGTCCTGGTGCATTTCAGTCCTGGTGCACTTCAGTCCTGGTGCATTTCAGTCCTTGTGCATTTCAGTCCTGGTGCATTTCAGTCCTGGTTCATTTCAGTCCTGGTGCATTTCAGGCCTGGCGCATTTCAGTCCTTGTGCATTTCAGTCCTTGTGCATTTCAGTCCTGGTGCATTTCAGTCCTGCATGGTGCATGTCAGTCCTGGTGCATGTCAGTCCTTGTGCATTTCAGTCCTTGTGCATTTCAGTCCTGGTGCATTTCAGTCCTGGTGCATTTCAGTCCTGGCTTGCGGTCTACGGTACATCCACATTATAAACCTAATGGGCTGTGCCTATAAACCATCCACCACATTTGACACACGTGTGCACAATATATGAACATATGGATTCAGAATTTCGGGATCATTTGTTGTGTTCAAATGGTACAAACATGGTACATATTAAGAGCATAAAATGTCATGACACACATTCATCTGTTTTACATTTCTTACTGGCTTTTAGGTGCATGCAGTACGTTACACATGTACATATGCCACACTGTACAATGTATGTTCACTGTACATGTCATGGGTGAGTTTGTCAGGATTTTTTGCCGATTTCAAGATTTTTTCACTGAGATTTTCCCGATTTTAGGATATTTCAAACAATCCCTCTTTAGATCTTGAAAATCCTGAGTTTACCCTTAAGGTGTTTTAAAAGTATAGAAGTTGGTACGTAGAACACAAGAAAGGGGTGCCTTTAACCAAAAACAAATATAATATGTACAGTGTATACCATAGACCCCACATGTACGTACTGTGGGGTTCCTCAAAATCTCGAGTGATTATTTCATGGATATTTTATTGTCCTTCAATCTCACCCCTGATTGCTTCCTACTTTTCAGTTTCTTTTCTGAGCAAGGCATCTTTTCTGGGGATTTTTAGTGCATTGAACTCCTTGTTGCTTCAATTTGTCTTGTGAAGAAATTCCCTACACCTGTACCGGTACATTTGATGTACCCCTTAGTTTTCGGAATATAAGCCGCCCGGTGTTTAAGCCGCAGCACACGAAATTCGGCAAATTAAGATTTAAAGTCGTTGTGTAAGCTGCACCAGCATATAAGTAGCCCCACTAGTGTGGCACGGACCTGGCACGGCTGTTCCATGTCGAGACATATCTAATATACAACTGAAGTCTCACGGACTGAGCGATATGTGCAGGTAAGTTTATTTTTTTGGTAGAGTTCTTGACATGGAACAGCTGTCTGTGGGCCGGGGTCAAGTGACGTAAAGTTCAACAGACTAATTTTAACTTAAAGATGGCGTGTGAGAGTGAGACCGTGAGATTGAATGGGTAAAGGCAAAAAGACTGGAAAATACCAGAATAACATATCATTCAATAATGGTCTTTGGAAAGCTGAGAGACTAAGGATCATTTGTGTGGGCAAAATAATTTGCGCCTACAATTAAAAGAGGGTGCGCCGAAGATTTCACCACGCCGACACAAAATTGCATATACAGATGTGTGGCTAAGGATGGAGCGGGAGCGAGGGTCCGTGCCACACTAGTGGGACTAGCATATAAGCTGCACAGCAGCGCTGACGATCCAACCACGAAGGTGCTGCGCATTGAAGCAGCAGTACTGTGCGTCAGTGGTTCCACTGTACTCTACTTATAGTCCTAATAAATATAAGAAAAGTGCAAAAGGGTGTCACCATTATAAACAAATTTTAAGTCCTCAGATTTAATCATTTTTGCGGGCTGGTTAATTGTCTTGCGGGGGCCATGCAAAAGTTATGCGGTTGGGGACGTACAATAAAATCTTGATAACTGGAAGTCAGTTAAGTCAAAAGACCATTTTATCTTGTAGGCCGATTACTTCTTGCTAAATGGATAGGCTTCTATGTAAAAAAATACCTCTGTGACTGTGCATTGCACTACATGTTACGTTTGTTGTGAAGTTTTTGTGACACCGATACAAAAACCACTGCCAAATGCGCTTCAAAAATAAAAAATCTGCTGCGAGACCTTGGTTCGAGTCATCACATTGGAACCGCTCATGTTGCATGAATGCTGCACATGGAACATGGAATGCACGCATCACCGTGATCCTGACAAACCCTGCTTTCAGGCTAGCCTGACTGCTAATGCAGACCCGTTCATGGACAATCGCTGGCTCTCACCGATAATCACATGACCATAGAAAGTGTTGTCAACAGAAAATCCACTGAAAAAAACCCTGAAGGGTGCATTCCACCAAATATTTGTATTTCTGCGCGTGAGCTCATTAATATTTTGTGATCCCACAGGGTTTTTACAATAAGACATGCAATAATCAGGAGGGATCATAGAAATATTTCTATATATCCCGAATTTGGGACTGATAGTATCCAGTTCGGGGGATTTCTTTCTCAAAAAGCCCTAAATTGCGGGCCCATATTGGATGGAGGCGGGCAGCTCCATTCAGAGCCGAACGCATAGTTTTACTTCTATTTTGGGGGTATCTTCAGGGAAAAGCGAATAAAAATTATTTTTAATGGCTAACCTCCATAAAATTGAAACGAAAAGTGATCTTCTGTCCATAATCTTGAATTTCCAGTGAAAGAACAGAGGCCAACCTCTTCACGAGAGTCAACAGGCAGCGCTATTTTGGTCTGATTTTACACTGTTTTCTATGGGCGCGTATTTGGTGTAGTGCAACCCGAAATTCTGTGTCATGTCACTCTGAACAAGATCGGCAGAAAGATGGAAGATTTGCTGCACGAAGGTACACCATTGAAGCGCTTGATTTTTATTTAATGGTATAACGAAATCTTTTGGTAACAAGAATGAAAAATCCAAGTAATAAAAAATAATTATTTGTGTACCAAAAATCACCGTGAGAATGAATAAAAAGTGGGAAAATAATCACTAGAAATGTTACAAATCAGATTACATTTTACAGGCACTGTTTACAATAAAAAGGAATGTCAGATTGCATCAATCAAAATGTCAAACCTCAAAAAAGGGTGGTTCTGTTTAAACATTTGGGAAAAAAGCTGTAAACAGATTTGGAACTTTTTATGTTTAAACGATTAAGCATGGAAACGTCCCACCCTAAGTACGTACAGTGTACCTTTGAAATTGTAAGTCATGCCCCCGTCTGCCTCATACATAGCAGGAAGTTGTGAAATGCATAAATACGTGTATTGCCCACATATACGTAGGTCTGCGTTGAATGCAGCGGGATACACATTCCTAATGTTAAAAATAGTACTTCAGTGCAAAAATGTAACATTCCAGTGCAAAGGTAGATAATGCTGTCATGGATAAGTACTGCTTTTTTATTCCAAATGTCAATTTTATCCA